CTGTGGCAATAGTTGTGTGTATGTCTATAATTCTCTTCTTCTCAAGCAATTCTGGAAGTGAACTCTAAAACATGAGAAGAACATTTGTAGTGTCCTCTTTACTCTTTGAAGAAATGAGACAGTGGGGTAAACATTCTCATGTAAGTTCCTTTTAACACCGAAGAGGGAAGATTTACAATCACAAAAAAAATACTTAGATACAACTTGCTTCTAATTGAAATTAGACAGAAATGACTTTACCTAACAGCAGAGGTATGTTAAGCTGTACTATCAGCCATAAATTCATCCATTAACTCGTCATTTCCCTCTTCAATTCCCTAGAAAAGCAAGAGAAATTTAACAATTTACTACAATTTACAAACAGCTGATTGTTAAAGTCCTATAAGCGACCAGATATTCAGAACTTGTAATCAACATCAATTCCATGAATTTCTTCCTTGTTTACATGTGTGAGACACAGTGGCCTAACAAATAGTAGTAGCTTTAAGTTAGCAAGGTAAGTCTGATCTTTTAAGTGATTGCTTCTTTCGTATAACATGACTTGGGCTTTTGGGTCACATGACTAAAAGTTTCAGGTGACATGACTCCGCTTTGAGTGACATGACTTAGGGTGAGAGGACTTTTGGGTGTCTTGACCAGTTACAGGTTAGTGCACTAGACTCCCAGTTGAGGGAGGGGTCTGGGTTTAGGACCTGCTTTGGTCCTTGTGTTTACACCCACAATGCCCAGGAGCATAGATGGGTATCAGCAAATTTTCAGGGAAGCCTGAGAAAATGCTGGGGAAGGGGGGATTGTGAGGGGGGATTGTGAGGGAGGTTCTTGTGGGGGGGTTGTGGTGGTTTATCTTCCTATAGAGCGGGAGTAGTAAATAAGTCGTGGTCACTTCAAGCTATGGAAACCATGATGAGCTCCTCACATGAGCCATTTGCCTCTGTTGCTGACTTCACCTGACATTATATTTCAAGTGCAGTCTCACAGAAGCACAAATTATCTCCTGATATACAAACTCTATGTCCTACCATGATATTTTTCAGTCTCTTTACTTCTTCTTCAGAAGCTCTGTATTCATCAAGTTCTTTCTGAATTCACTCTGCCACTGTTGGGAAAGGACTACAAAAACACACCCAATTAGAAGAATATGAAT